TTTATTTTCACGATTAACAAAAAAATTTGAAAGTTTACACGAAACCTTCTCCAATCACTTGTATATTCTTCTTTGAATTTGTGCGAAACGCGTCACTTACGCTTGTGAACACGTATTTTTATTTCTTTCTTCATCTAATAATTAATAAAACTATAATAATGCTTACTATTTATATAATAATTTTATGAATGCAAACTTTCATTTCTTACTTCATCTATTAATTAATAAAATTATAAATATGCAATTACCATTTTATATAATAACTTCTTCGAATGTTAGAGATGAGGACCAATTAAAAGTTAGAAAAAAGCTATTTGTACAAAAAGGATTTGACAAAAAGGTTGACAAACCCTCACATGATTGTTGGTCCCACGTGAATAAAAAATTAAAAATAAAAAAGTGAGCCCCCCACATTGTGAGGGGCCGGTCAGGGTGTTTGTCACCCTGATCGGTACAAGTAGCCTCTCTCTAAAAGTTAAGAACATTCCCCAGTTAAAAAGCAAACACCCTGACCAGTACAAGTAGCCTCTCTCTAAAAGTTAAGAACCTTCCTCAGTTAAAAAGACGAAAAAGATAAGCCTAAGTCAATGAATTGCTTTAGAAAATGGATTATGAAATTTCCCTCACTGCATGAAACATAGAGGGTTGACTAACTAACAGATTGGATTATGAGCTCCTTTAATTGTAAAATTTGGACCTAACTATTCAGCACGATAGCAATATATCTGCTAGTGCTACAAAGCAAATAGAGACTTTATTGAAGAAAATAATTTATTTGCTTCACTAGTTGATAGTAGAGTTGAACAAAACTCTCGAATCGAACTGACCTGATCGAATCGAATCGAACAATTTTTCTTAAATTAAATATTAGAACGGATATCTGAATCGAGAACCGATGGGTTCGGTTCTCAGTTCTAGACGAAAAACCTTTATCTTAAATAAGTCTTATTATTTTATTTTTTTTAAATAAATTTGCTAACTAATTAATTTAGCTCAAATCCAAAACATGATTTTCGAATTTTTAATTTCTAGTCCAAGTACAATTAATCAAATTGACCTAAATTTTACTCAAATCTCTTATTATACCGTAGTGCCGTTTCTGTCGTTTTAGAGAAATCGTATTGGAACCTCTCTTTATTTATTGTGAGTGATTTTAACAGACAAATTTATGAAAAACTCAACAAAAAAAAGAACAAAAAATATCACGGGATTGGACTACGCTATTTTGTAAAAGCTAAAATTGAACATGTCATTAGTTAAATTAATGTAGCGATGTTGTAAATATTAAAAAAAAATTGTATGAAACCCGAGAATCGAATCGAACGGAACCGAACACGAACGGTTCCATAATTAAATTTGGACCCGACGATTCCATTTACTAAATACTCAAAATTTCGAGTTCGATTTGATTCTAAACTTGACCGTGTCAAGCCCTAGTTGGGAGGACTAAATGAATTAAAGATCAATTTACCTGCTTGACATGGTTCAAAGAGTAATTAAGAGCCTCTTGACACTCTTTAATTTATTTTATGGTTTATTATAGAATTATTTTTAACCACACATCCACACAATAAAATATTCTACACGTATACCAAAAATTTTTCCCTACTTTTTAATCACACATTCTTTTAAAAATCACTATTCAAAACCCTTTTTTTTTTTTTTTTACCAAAATGTCTAGCAAATTGACACACACACACACACACTCTCTCTCTCTCTCTCTCTCTCTCTCTCTCTCTCTCTCACACACACACATTGAAGTACTTTAGGGGAATTGCATGGACACTTGAAAATTCATACACCATCTTAAAATAAAACAAAGAAGCATATAATCAGTGGCGGACCTAGCATCGAAGTCCAGCCCGGGCGGACTTTGACCAGTCAACGTTGACAATCAACGATCGTAAAAGCGATGTCGTTTATTAATATTTAATTATATATTATTAAAAATTGTTCAATATATATGTACACACTCTAAAACTTAAAAATTATATATATCCAAATTTCCAATTCCCCAAATTCCAATTTCGATTCCAATTCCAATTTTATTTTCCTCCAATTCCAAATCCTAAACCTAAATCCAATTCCAATTCCAATTCCAATTTTATTTTCCTTCAATTCCAAATCCAAATCCGATTCCAAATTCCAAATTTAATTTCACAAGCAGCCATGAGTAACCCATGTGACCCCCTCCCATATGAATTCATCCACATATCATATTCTCGCTTTTATCGCCGTGAGTTTTGAATTCAGAATTTTTATTCTGCTTAGGAAATACAAATGGGCTTGGATGCCATTATTATCAAAGTACGAGAGAAACATGGATGAGTCATTTTCTTTCTTTAAAAATATGTGAATAAAGTTTGCAACAGTGGCAGGCTTGCCATTGCAAATGCTGTAAACTCGTATATGGAGAAAGAGGATTGAGGGGCCGTACTGGACGAGCTAAAAAGAGGTGAACCCACTTCACAATTACAGCTGAATACAAAAAAGAAATAGAAAAAAATACAGCTACTGGAAAATTAAATAATGGGTAGCATTTTTGGGATTTGTTTACATGTTTACCATCCAAATCTCATTTCGAAGCAGCGTTCAAACTGGTGTTCGGTGGTGGTGGAAAAGACGGCTGGGCTGTGGCGGATCTCGGCAGCGACGGCACGGCAAGCGTGAGGCGTAGCTGTGTCGTCTCTTGATCTAGAAGGCTGAAGAGGAAATGAGACCAAATGCATTTGCTGGGCTGGAATGTGTATATATAGAGTATTGGGCCCAAGAATAAATGGCCCAACACATTAAAAAAAGGAAAAGAAAAGGGATAAGAAACCAGCAGTCGGAGAAGACGAACTTGCACAACAGCGGCGCCATCTTCTATTCTTCTTCCCAAAAATTCATCCGGCAGATCCCAGCACGGGCGGCCGCCCCCCCTGGCCGGGTGCTGGGTCCGCCACTGCATATAATCAAATATATTGAATACTAATTTAAGGTATTCATCGAAAGGAACTTTGGTCGCTCAGTTAAATTGTCATTATGAAGGTGTTTGTTTCATGGGTGCTAACATGTAAGAGTTCTAGCGGAAAGATCTTCATTAAGAGTTCGTTTGATATGATTTTCACTTTTGTTTTTGTTTTGTATAGAGGAGTTTTTGAATGAAATTATCTTAATTTTTGTTTAGAAACTAATTTTTAATAGTATTTTCTATTTCATAAGTGTTTTTAAAGAGAGCTGTTGTTTCGCGCGTTTACTCGCTAACAATTAAAAATGGATCAGACGATTGTGTAAAGGACAAACATCTTGGAATAAAGTCCCAAAACGGGGTGTTTATCGAATATGAAGATTACAGTTTGGACACGAACAAGATGCCTCCAAGGGGCGCAAGCACACAAGTACAAGAGAATTGAAGTAATTAAAGTTAATCTAAGAAAAAGTGAATTACATATTCTCTGTTTGAGAGTGAATTTTGTTGGGGGTATCTTCGTTGTCTTCTTCTTTCTTTTATACGGTTTGGACAATTTTTAATCGTTTAGAAACTGTTTGAAACTACACATTTCTTTCATAATGGCCGACTAGCCAATAACTACCGTGTGTAACTCCTATCACCACGTCTTTTTCATAACTGCTTGTCACCAACTTTCTTAAATCATGGGGTGTAATTGTGATGTGCTCAAACCGCCTTAAATCTTGACTTTGGATAACAACAAGCTTTAGTCATCGCTGTGACTCTGGGCGACTCAGCATTTTTGGGATACAATTGGTCTTCTGCTCTGGGCG